GTGCTGCTGTCCGCGATCGAGCGGCTCGCCGGCACACCCGAGCTCCCGCGCGGCAGGGCGGGGCCAGGGCCCTGAGCGCGACCCGCTCGGCGGGCGCAGTCGGCGCGGTAGCCAGCGCAGCCGGCGCGAGGCCAGGCGAGACCTCTCGGTGGGGCCGAGGTTGATCGCCTCTGCCTGGTGGCGCGCAGGAGGGGTGATGGGCCAGTTCTCCACCACCACTACCATGGGTCGGACGGGGGTGAAGGGAGGCTGGGCAGGTCCGCTTCCGCCTCCTCCTCCCCCTCCTCCTCCTCCTCCTCCTCCTCCTCCTCCTCCTCCTCCTCCTCCTCCTCCTCCCTCTCCTACATATGGTATTTGTGGTGGGAAATCGGCCCATCAAGGGGGTAGGGCGCAACTCCTGGGAGGTTGGATTCAGCATCGGCGCCAGAACATCCGTGGTCGACCACGGGCCTAACCCCGCCCGATTCGGCGTTATTTCGCGCAAGACGGCCTAACCCGTTCCAGCGCAACTTAGTCTAGGGCACATTTTGGTTCAATGGCTCCCTAATCCTGCTTAATCGCGCTCAATCTTTCTCGCGAAGACCTCCCAGAAGTTGCTTCCTCAGGAGGGCGCGTGGAGCGACAGAGGGGCGTTCAACAAGTGGGGTTTCCAAGAGTCCAACGAGGTAAATACCGACCGCATCTCGTCGGCATGGCTGGATTCGCCCCGGAGTTCTCGTCAGAGCGCACCTGCGGAGAGGTTTGGGGAGCAGCGGTATCAGTATACGGCTCTCCCCCAAACAAAAGAGTTTGGGGGCGACCATCGGACGGGGCTAGGACGAGGAGAAGTACGTTCCAGAACGATCTCAGAGCGTTCCAGAACGCTCTGAGAAGGCCGCGACGCCCGAGACATCTTCCAGAGCCGCCGGTTCTCCGAGATTTTCGATTGATCCTCCCCCGATTTCATCCACATCCTGACTTCGTCTTAGTATGAGTGGGTGGATGCCATGGCTTGGGCCATCTGGGCCTCCCCCCATCCTTTTTTGGCCAGTGCGTTGTCTGCCCCCCCCCCCTTCTCCGCGCAAGTGGCTTGGGTCGTGCGTATTAGTGCGCCTCTTCGTGCCCCCCCTCTTCACTCCAAGCTTCCTAGATGGGATCGGAGTAGATGGGGTCGGAGGGTCGGAGTAGATGGGATCGGAGTAGATGGGATAGGCCTCCTCGCCGATGTATCGGCGATGTGGCGCGATCCTCCGACCCTATCTACTCGGACCCCACCCAGGAGGCCTCTACTCACCCTCTTCGGCACACTTGAAAGGTTGGGCGCCTCGACGTCGGCGGGGTCATGTTGTTCTGCAGTCCTGGCTCAGGCCCACAGAAACCAGGACTCTGCAGACCAGGTCTTTGCCATATCCAGCGGGAGAGAACGGAGAGCCGAGAACGTTCCCTTTGCTGCAGTTTTCTCGGGTGCGTCGATGTGGTTCAGCAAAGTTCCCGTCTGTGATTTGAGCTGTGTTGTCATTTCGGCCTCCAAGAGCCGTTTCCAGGCCCCGGGGCCATCAAGAACGTATTTGTGACGAGGAATTGCCTTTGGTGAAAGGTTCACGGGGACCGCGGGTTGTTGAAACAGTCCATCAGATGTTTGGGCAATGGGCCAACGGTGTTTTTGCGTCAAGGGCGCCAGGGTCTTTCACAGAAGGCTTCTCGAAGGGCGGGCGGGTTTCTACGAGGCCCCTGACCAGGAGCGGCAACGTTTGACGCCGAATCGCCGATGGGAACCCGATAGCCCACCTTGCCAAGCAACCTGCGGTTTCGCTATCGGGGACCTATCGCCAATCGGTCGGCGATGCATCGCTGGTTCCATCTCGGTATTCCCCCCCATGAGCCAACCTCCCCCTTCTGCCTCCTTAGACACCACTCCCCTCCATCGAACCCCCTCCTGCGCGCTGACAGTAAGCGGTTCCGGCGGTTCCAGCGGTTCCAGCGTGCTGAGGTCCGTACGGTTTTAGCGGCTCCAGCTCTGGTTCCAGCGGCTCCGTCCGTGTTCCGTTTTTGTCTTCGCCCTGTGCAGCCACCCCCCGCTCCAGCGGTTACCCTCCTGCTTTGCTGCGCGGTCGAGAAAAGGTGACCACGACGAGTCGCAATGGCTCGGTTGCAACTACTGGGCAGTTAAAATCAGCATCTGCATTGGTATATGCGTAGTCGAAAACCGTCCTACTCTGGCCTAGTGTCGCTGAATCTGGCCCGCCTACAGCTCGGCTGAATCCAGCTTAATTAATTGCCCGTTGCATCTGGCTTCATGACTTGGCATCGCTCGGACGTGTGCATTCTCTTCGGGGCCGACCATCGAGGATTCTTTTGGGCCCGGAATCGACACATTCACGGGGAATGGACGGTCGAGCGATGGGGCGAGATCATCGTTCCCACGAAGGCTTTCCAGGAGTTGCTTCCTGAACCTGTTTGCTGCTCCCGCTCGCGCTTCTCTTGGGGAGGAGGGGCGGGGGAGGAGGGCGAGGTGAGGCTCGGTCGAGCTAGTCAGCTTCGGGGAGTCAGCAGGTCCCACCCTCCCACCACACAGTCAAGACGCTGAAAAAGGATCTCTTCGAGCTCAGGAGACGCTCTGGCTTTCGGGCCTGATTACATCTGGGTCAGGGAACCCTTGCGTGGTCGAGGCTCCCCGTGGCCAGAAACTCATGCTCGTTCTTCACTCATCGTCCCGTGTGGTACCACGGTGACCGCATCCGCCATGAAGCAAACGTTATCTGAGAAAGCGGGGCATGCTGTCTTTCGCCGTTGTCGGGCTCTTGGGGTCCCGGGATTGTTTGCAAACGACCCAGGACGAAAAGCCGGTCCTGGAGGAAACCCTGGGTTTCAGGACCCATCTCGATCCAGGACCGATTTGTTCCATGCCAGCTATTCTCCAGGACTTTGTTCCCCTCTTCGTCCTCCTCCCTCCTCCCCCTCCCCCTAGCGGATGCCCAACAGACTAATCCCCCGCCTCTTGTGTTGGTTGGGATTCCGACAGTTTGGATGTTTAGGCGGTTTCGCGGTGGCAGTGGGGTAGGGGGAAGAGTGGTCGCTCAAGTGGCATGAGGTTCGACTCGGGTCGCAGTCCGCGTACCTGAGGCCTGGCTCCTTCAGGTGGTTGCGTGCCTCGGGAACGCGCAGACTGGGTCAGTGCGACGTATGGCCGAGAGTGAGATGCATCTTTTCGTGGATGTTGTCGGCTTCGTAGGATACGCCTCCTCAGGGAAGTACCCCGTGAACAGCTTCGAGTTTCCGCTAGCTGTTTCATCGTTGAGAGGTCAGCGTTCTCCTTTTGATTTGATCCCCATGATTCAGAAATAATGAAACAGAAGGGGTACAAGCTGGAGGGGCAACAGCTAAATACCTCACACGCCCGCTCACCCTTAGCCCTTGGCGGATTTGTTTGTTTACTTTGCGACGGACTGGGCCGCCCGATTCAGTGCCAAGTCGGGTGGCCAGGCGGCAGAGTGGGAACGAACGCACGACCACCAATGCGAACAGCAGTTTGGGCCTACTTGAGACCAGGTGAGTGAGGCCGTGGCCTCCAAAACAATATGGTTTATTGTGAGGCATGCATGCGAGACACATGCCAAGTTACGCGAAACGGAAGGGGAGGAGGAGGAGGAGGATGAGGAGGAGGAGGAAACCTTGTTGTTGGAATCGTCGTGGTGCTGTGTCGTTGGGTGGGCGTGTCGTCGTATCGAGTGCTCTATGGTGGTCTCTGTTGGTGCCAGGTCATGTTTTTTGTACTTGGCTTGGTCTTGTCTGGGATTGGTGTTGGTGTTGGTGGAGGGTGCTCTTGTCGACGTGGAGGCTGGCGGTCGAAGTGTTGAGCTGGTGGAAGCTGGAGGTCAGTGGGAGGAGGTGGAAGTAAATCAAAGCTCGGGTGCTAGATCGTGGAGGTCAGAGTGCTGAGCTGGTGGAAGTTGGAGGTCGACAGTCAGAGGTGTAACTGAAAGGTCAGTTGCCGGATGCTGGAGGTCGGAGTGCTGAGCTGGTGGAGGCTAGAAGTCGATAGGTGGAGGTGGAGGTGGAAGTGATAAGTCGTCGGCAGGAGGATGGCGAACTGGTCGAGGCCGGAGGTCGATAGGTGAGGTGAAGTGGGAGGTCGGATGCTTGATGGTGCAGGTCGGAATGTTGAGCCGGAATGTGCGGCCCAGACGCCATTCGGCGGCACCTGCGGCGGCAGTATGAGCGCGCGGCGGCGCCGGGACGCCTGCTGCGCCGTCGGCCCGCGCTGGAGCTGTTCTGCGGCGCAGACGCAATAAATCGTGCGTTGGCGACCCGGGGTCACGCCGCCTTAAGGCTCGACTGGAGCCGAAGCCCGCTGGAGTACCATGTTGCGGCGCTTTCTCTCGCCGTCGCCCTCGGCTGGATCCAGTCCCAGGCCGCGGGCGCGGTCTGGCTCGGCACGCCGCGCGCCGGCTTGAGCGGGCCAGGGTGAACGTTGGCAATGTTACCTATCACTTTACGTTCAGAGTGATTCGCGCCTGCATTGACTCTCGTGTGCCCGTGCACTTGGAGAATCCTCAAAACTTCGCTCATGTGGTCAGGCCCTGGCTTGGTTCGCCTGTGTCGCTCGCCCGCTTGCCGCGCGTCTGTTGTTCTGCGCCAGTGTCAGTGCGGCGCGCCTTACAGAAAAGCCACCACCATCTGTTCGTGGGGCGCCGCCGCTTCGCCGGTGCTCGATCAGAAATGCCTTGGGCGTCGAGGTCTCTGCAGTGGGACTGGCAACAAAACCTCATCCTTGAAGGGAATGATGAGTCGGGTCGCAAGCGCACCGCAGGTGCTGCCGAGCGCACCTCTCAGCTCGCCGCCGCCGCCACCCGGTGCATCGTGCAGCCGCTTCCTCAGCAGCCAGGGCGTGCTTTGCATTCGTTAGCCAGGAAAATGGATTGTTAATTCGGCCTTTGGCCATGCGGATACGGACCTTCGGGGTCGGGCGGGGGCCACCAAAGGGGGGCCTCTGCTGCTGGCGGTACCCGCGTCCGCACTCTCAGCAGCTGTTGCTCGATTGCTTCGTTTTGCCTGGCCCTTTTTCATGTCGCAAAAGATTAATGGCCTCGACGGCGACGCGAGCTATACATTATATGTAAATATAGTACATATGTATATATAGATGTATATATGTATTCACACGTGTACGCGCGTGGACTAAACACTTGTACGCGTATCTGTGTACCAGTGCATGTTGGTATATGGTTTTAGCGGTGCAATGCTATGTACACATTTGCATAAGCACGCGTGGACTGCAATATCTCTCTCTCTCTCTCTTTCCCCCTTCGCTACCCCTCTCTGTCTCTTCCCCCCTCATCCCTTGTCCGTCGCTGACGCAACCTAGTCCGTCGCTCGACGACCTTAGTATTGCCTCGCGACCGCAGGCGAAAGCATTACAGTTGATCTGGACTACTCTGGTTGTTATTTCCATCATTGTCCTGGGCATCATCTTCATTACAATGGTGGGCATGGCCATGCCTGTTTGCAGCATTTTGAAGCTTCGAGCAACGCGGGACGTGTAATCTGGTTGGTGTATGCATCAAGAACGGTTGAGAAGAGGACGACGAGGCGGATGAGGAATACGATTCGGAGGAGTACGACGAGTGCGTACAAGGAGGTTCAGGACGATGAAGCACAATATCGAAACCACCACTGACGAGGACGACTATCGGCGTCGAGCGAAGGGGGGACATGAGCAGGAGAGGGCCTTCTGAGAAGGCGGCGAGGCTTCTTAGAAGCCATGCGGCCTTCTGAGAAGTTTTCTGTGTCTCCTGGGAAGGCGCTGAACATTTTTCAGAAGGCCAGGGGATTTCCGAGCCTTTTGCGAAGGCCCGCCCCTTCTCACCTTCCCCCCCCGTGCTCGCCGCCGGGACGAAGAGGACGAGAGGAAGGGAACAGTGAAGGCCTGAGTTGTGGAGGTACGTTGGCACCCCTTCCTACGGCCGTCTTCGTTGGCCGAGGGACCGTAGGGAAAGCCTCGGCCTCCTCCACTGGCAGTGGCGCCGTGAGGTGGCAATGTCAAGACTGGGAGCGGGACCCCCGGCAGCCCCCACGATGGCAGCTGCCGTGGGGGACGAGTACGTCGCTCGTTCTTCGTGCACGAGCGCTCGCTGTGCGGTCGTGCTGGTCTGCTTTTTGCCGCGGGCGGGGTCGGCCTGGAGCGGCGGCCACCGTGCTGCTCGGGCCAGGGAACGGGATGGTGTGGGTGCGACCCGGGCATCTGGTGGCTCCAACGCATTTGCAGGGAGCGTTCCTCCTCCTGCTTCCTCCCTCATCCGAAGCAGGATGAAAAAAACAGTATCCGCACTGCTACGCCTCCCTCGGTTTCCCCCTTTTCGGGGCCTCCTGGGAGGCCCGCGTCGTAAACGCTGGATTTGCTTCGAAATCCTGGTCCGAACGCGCCCCGGGAGAGGTCCGGGGAGTAGCAGTATCGGTATTTTTTCGGCGCCCCTTCCATTATTCCTCCCGAGAGGACGGAGGGACGAGGAGAGAAGGGAGGAGGAAGACAAGGGGGGGAAGAGAGGAGGCAGGAGGATGCATCGTGGTCGAGCGAGTTTCCACTCGGGGCTCCCCCGTGGGGGCCAGACTTCTTCACATTATAGTGCACGGTAGGTCGCACATCTCTGAGAATTCTTGGAGGCGTGGTTCTTTCGAAGTTGAGGTTCGATGCACGACCCGATGCCGATTCGCCGCCGCGCCTCCCATGTCCTCATCCTCCTCCATCCGAATTTGTCCTTCGTCATTAGTCCTCATGTAACATGAGGGCCGATCTCACCACTGTCAAACATGAGTCATGTTTGATAGTGGTGAGATCGGCCCTCTTTCCCAGAGACGCACGCGGGGATTGGAGGGCGACTGCACAATGGCAGGAGGAGCAGGATAGGATGAGGAGCAGGAGGCGGAGTCGGATTGGCCAGGTCGAGCGAGCCAGAGGCCCCGCCCACTCCCACCCCCCCTCTCCCACACAGCATAAGAGCCCAGTGTGGCACAGCCTCAGATTGGGAGCGGAGCGCGCTCCCACCTCGCGAACGAGAGGCGTTCGCGCGCGGCCTCCTCTCCGACGACACTGGCGACGAGACAGCTGCGCGGGCCGCGCAGGG